CCGTGGAACCAGGTAAGTGTTGCACTGCACACTCAGACCCCTCTTCAGGTCCCTGCGTTCCACCTCACTGCCCCACCGCGGGTACGTTGGTGGTCCCACTGGTCCAGCTTGTGTGGTGTCCGGGTGCCTGGCTACCAAACCGTCTCGCTGGTTCCTGAGGACCATCAGACTCGGCTATGCGATTCAGTTCGCCCGGCGTCCCCCAGTCTTGGACCTGCGTGTCTTGAACCGGGCCCTTCACCAGTTACCGTTCAAGATGTTGACACAGGAATGCATCTTCAGGTGCACCCCCCTCCCCGAGATTGATTTGCAGCGGACGCGTACTTTCATGTGTCGATCCTTCCGCATCACAGACCATTGCTGCGGTTCGTGTTTGAAGGAAGAGCATATCAGTACGAGGTCCTGCCCTCCGGGCTGTCCCTGTCGCTCCGTGTCTTCACGTAAGTTGCGGAGGCAGCCCTTGTTCCCCTGAGAGAACAGGCCATTCGCTTTCTTAACTACCTCGACGACTGGCTAGTACTAGCTCAGTCTCAGGATAAGTTGTGTGCACACAGGGACTTGGTGCTTTCGCACCTCAGCCGGTTGGGCCTTCAGGTCAACTGGGAAAAGAGCAAACTCTCCCCGACGCAGAGGATCTCTTTTCTCGGTATGGAGTTGGACTCGGTCGAACAGACAGCACGCCTCACGCAGGAACGTGCTCAGTCGGTGTTGAACTGCTTGAATACATTCAAGAGCAGGATGGCGGTCCCACTGAAACAGTTTCAGAGGCTCCTGGGGCATATCGCAGCTACGGCGGCAGTCACGCCGCTGGGGCTGCTCCATATGAGACCGCTGCAGCACTGGCTCCAGGGCCGAGTCCCGAGGTGGGCGTGGCAACGCGGCACCTTCCGGGTCCAAGTGACACCGGCCTGCCGCCAAACCTTCACCCCGTGGTCAGACCTGGCGTTTCTCCGGGCAGGAGTGCCCCTAGAGCAGGTCTCCAGGCATGCTGAGGTTTGCACGGATGCCTCAACCACCGGCTGGGGGGCGCACACAGAGACTTGGTGCTTTCGCACCTCAGCCGGTTGGGCCTTCGGGTCATCTGGGAAAAGAGCAAACTCTCCTTGATGCAGAGGATCTCTTTTCTCGGTATGGAGTTGGATTTGGTCGAGCACACCTCATGCAAGGACGTGCTCAGTCGGTGTTGAACTGCCTGAATATGTTCTAGGGCAGGACGGCGGTCCCACTGAAACAGTCTGCTTTAACACTGGCTCCATGGCCGAGTCCTGAGGTGGGCGTGGCTACGTGGCACTCACCGGGTCCGAGTCACACCGGCCTGCCGCCAAACCTTCACCCCGTGGTCAGACCCTTCGTTTCTCTGGGCAGGAGTGCCCCTGGAGCAGGTCTCCAGGCATTCCGTGGTTTACATGAATGCCTCCACCACCGGCTGGGGAGCCACGTTCAACGGGCTTGCAGTGTCGGGGGTTTGGACGGGCCCCCAACTGCAGTGGCACATCAATTGCCTAGAGTTGCTGGCAGTACGCCTGGCCTTGAGCCGTCTCAAGAGGCGCTTACGAGGCAAGCGCGTGCTGGTCCGCACGGACAACACTGCAACCGTTGCGTACATCAACCGACAAGGTGGTCTTCGCTCCCGTCGCTTATCGCAACTCGCCCGCCACCTCCTCCTCTGGAGTCAGAAGCATCTGAGGTCGCTTCGTGCCATTCACATCGTCTCTAAGCAGAAGATGGCCCACTGGATAGTGGGTGCCATCACCCTTGGCTTATCAGGCACAGGGTGTGCCCTGCCCATTCAGGTTGCGAGCTCACTCTACTAGAAGTGTTCCTCAGCGAAAACCTGAATATGCGCTGCACCTGCTGCCTCCTTATACTCACGCTGTGATCTGCGGCAGCTTGATGCAATAATCGCATGCCAATGTGCATTGGCTCGTTTAGTTTACACTCAAAGTGGATTGGTCTATCTAAGCGAGATCCCAATTCGTCGGTCATCCGATGTGACGTCTCCGTTCCCTCCATCAGGGAACGAGGGTTACATATGTAACCAAGACATTACTTTTATTCAAACGTTGGAAACAATTTATTTAGAAACTAGCTATAAACATGGTATTGTGTACTGCAACAATTGTTGATATTGATATTAAAATTGCAAAAAACTTTCACTTTCTTTTTGCAACATTCTTACAAATGCCTTAGTTTCTCAACATTCTTATTACTGATTTCTTATTTATTTCTTTTAATATAGAGGATGAACTGAGATTCATACATAATTAAAAAAGACAAAAACTGAGACTGTCATGTTTAAACTCAATTTACCTAACTGTAAAAATCCAATAAATAGATTTAAAGAAAGTAATTTTATTATAATTGGATATTTATCAAAAAGTAATCAAAAATGACAAAAATGTAACAAGATTTTTCTCTGTATTTTTGATCAAATAAATGCAGCCTTGGTGAACTTATAAAAACATAAAAAAATCTTAGTGTAGTTAGTAGTGTGTGTGTATGTGTGTGTATATATATATATATATATATATATATACATATAGCAAACCTTTGATATGGGCTGATAAAGAGATTTAAATCAAATCAGGAAAATGTTTTCATATTGAAGTCTACATTTATCACACGTTTAGTTGTTTCTGAAAACAAAAGTAAGAAGAATGAGGTCTTGAATGAATTTAACACAAAAAAAAAGTTCCTTCAGTCAACCGATTTAGTTTTTTTTAGACCAACTCTGAAAGTAGGCATTCATGCCCAGTGTTGGGGAAAGTTACTTTTAAAAGTAATGCATTACAATCATGCCACACATCCACAGCCATGCTGCACTGCTGCAGTGATTGTGCCGAGCACAGCGTCTCATGTTCGAAGGATTTGAGTGCAGGAATTTATTGTTCTCTGATATGTCAATCACGTCTATGGAGCGTGACGGCTCCGCTTGATGAATGCTCCCAGCAGACGAATGCCAAGCAGCATCGCAGCGTGTCACATCTTGTCTTCTTTCCATCTCTCTGTTTATCAGGAAAATAACATGTCCCCAGACTTTTCGATCTCATCTTGTCAATACAGGGACAAACAAGCCCTCTTTAAACCCGTTGATGCATGGCATCTAAAGTGCCTGCTCTTTTTGTCTCTTCTTTCTCAAGGCCTGCCGTGTTTTCAGACACAGACAGACATTAAGGAACTGCTCAACACCCTCGGCCAGAATGTAGTAACCAAGAAGAGAAAGAATGTGGAGATCCTGTGGCTTGCGGGAATGGTGAGGCTGAGTTTGAGGTCATGGAGTCTGTGCAGTTTGTTTCGTAACCTCACATTTGCGAATAATTAGGCTCTGTTATGGTCAAGATTTCAAGTAAGATTTTAATCTTATAAATCATGGATTTCGAGAGAGTAATTAAAGGCATATAAAATAGTATTTTTGTCATGTTGTTTGTTTGGCCAATCTATACACAACCATTGAAACGTTTGAGGGTAAGTAAGATTAAATATAAGTAAGTAAAATATAATTTTAAAAAAATTTATTTAATATTTTCATTTATATTCAACAACATAAAGAGCAATATTTACCTAGATATATGTTATATATATTGCACTACATATACATTATTAAAGCATTATAATACTTGAAAAATTGAACAATTTCTGAATGTTTGTGAGTGACGACTCACTCAATTTTTCTTAATTAGTTTATCTTAATTTTTGCTTATTAGAATTGGATCACCGAAGGTCAGCAGCAAATTGGTTAATAAAATGGGATTAAATACATAAAGGATATTTGTATTATTTAACATATTTAATTATTGCAGCTTTGAGTCATATTCTGAGTTGCTTTTAACTGTTTTTATTCATTTTGAGGAAAACTAAATCAGATTTTTTGTGTGTGTGTGAGTGAGTGAGATGAATTAATGCATGTTCACATTTATTCTAGAACTAAAGTAACATCTTACTCCCGATTTCTCTCAGCCAATCTATACACAACCATTGAAACGTTTGAGGGTAAGTAAGATTAAATATAAGTAAGTAAAATATAATAAAAAAAAATTTTATTTAATATTTTCATTTATATTCAACAACATAAAGAGCAATATTTACCTAGATATATGTTATATATATTGCACTACATATACATTATTAAAGCATTATAATACTTGAAAAATTGAACAATTTCTGAATGTTTGTGAGTGACGACTCACTCAATGAATCAGATTTTTGAATCTTTTCATTAGAACTGACTGAACAAACCGACTCACAGGAATGAATGTTTGCTGCTGAATTATAAATCAGAGGCATTATTAAAACATTTCTAATGACACAGTCTCTTGCCCATGTAAAAAAAAAACTAAATATCCTTGTTTTGTTTTGTTTTGTTTTTTGGCAGCGCATCTCTGTGAATTTCGCTCTGTGAAAATAGGAATCAACCATCAGTTTATCACCACCATATTTCATATCAGGGAAGCAAAAGTAAATACAATTGAATCGGTCACATGTCTCCTCAGATCTGTCGACGGATAAATGGTATCCGATTCACCAGCTGTAAAAGTGCCAAAGACAGGACGTCCATGTCAGTGACGCTGGAGCAGTGCTCTCTGCTGCGGGACGAGCACCAGCTCAATAAAGATTACTTTGTGCGAGCTCTGGACTGCATGCGGAGGTAAGCGCCAGCCCATTTCTGTGCAGATCTGTTCTCCCCATGTATGCATGCATTCAAGGAATAGTTCACCCAGAAATGACAATTTAATAAAAATGTGCTCGCCCTCATCCAAGATGTAGATGAGTTTATTTCTTCATCAGAACAGATTTGGATAAATGTAGCATTACATCACTTGCTCACCAGTGGATCCTCTTCAGTGAATGGGTGCCGTCAGAATGAGAGTCCAAACAGCTGATAAAAACATCACAATAATCCACAAGTAATCCACAGCACTCCAGTCCATCAACTCATGTCTTGTGAAAAGCTGCCTGTTTGTTAGAAACAAGAAGTTATTCATTTCAAACCATTGTTTCCAGCTGAAATGCGAGTCCTCTATCCATAATATTGCTTGCTCCAGTGAAAAAGTCATCTTGTCTGAATCAGGAGAGACAAGCAGAAACAGTCCAAAACAGCTCTAAAAAAATATGTGGGTTGATTTCGATGTGAGAGGACAACAGGGGATGGACTTTTTCACTGGAGGAAGCGTTATTATGGATTATGGACTTATATTTTTGCCAGAAGCAAAAGTTTGAAGTTAAAATGCATTAATGATGGATTTGTTTCTTACAAACACGCAGCTTCTCGTTTCACAAGACATGAGTTGATGGACTGGAGTGGTGTGGATTACTTGTGGATTATTGTGATGCTTTTATCAGCTGTTTGGATTCTCATTCTGACGGCACCCATTCGCTGAAGAGAATCCACTGGTGAACAAGTGATGTAATGCTACATTTCTCCAACTCTGTTCCTATGAAGAAACAAACTCATCTACATCTAGGATGGCCTGAGGGTTACATTTTCAGCAAATTGTCATTTTGGGGTGAACTATTCCTTTAACATTACACTTAACCTTTAACATTTAATTCAGATAATAAAGTCTAAACCAGTGCGTCTGTTCTGATTGTGTTGTGCACAGAAAAATATGCAGCAAAAGTCGCCCATGATGCATTAAAATACTGTATGTTCTGAAACAGAGCCCTCGTCTCTAGCAGTATGTAATAATGCAGTTTGATTGAAATCCAAGCCAGTGTAAATTATGGGTGAAGATTAACTGATACAAGAAGCCAAACTATGTGAAAAATGTGAAATATTGCTTCCTGTTCACGACCCAGTACTGAAGAGTTCGACATCCGTGTTGATATCCAATGATTCTTACATGTAGCCTGTGTTGAGATTGTGAAATACAGGCGGCAGGAAGCTTCTGCCACAAAAGAGCATTTAGAAGCTGTACATACAGATGACAAGGCTTTATAAGAAGTCTTGTGGAGCCGCTGGAAACTGTCAGCTGCACATATTTACAGCCCACACTGCAGATCCTGTAAGAAAAAAAATAATAATAATGTTCATTTTATGTAAATGTAGGGAATGTAGGGAACACACACTGTAACTATTTTGTTCTGAATGTTCCCAACAAAGGCTCTGTTTCAAAACATTGAACTTGAATTTGAAATGAGATCCTTTCGTTTGGCCAGGTTTTAAGGCAGCAATCCCAGAATGCATTACAACATGCTCAATGGAAAGAAAGAAAAAAAACAGTGAAATGTTCTTATTATAACTGTTAATTAATTCAGTACTGAATGGTTTATAAATATTGCTTCAAACTAGCTCAGTATTTTACACAATATGCAATGTATAAAGAGAATGCAGTGCAACAAGCTCAATGAAAAAGGATTGTGAAATATCCTTAGTCATAAATGCAATTCACTGAACAATTTTGTTTATAAAAATTTTTTTTTTTTTAAATGGCTAAGTTCCGTCTATTTATACAATTTATTTAAAGGGGTCATATGATGCTGCTAAAAAGAACATTATTTGGTGTATTTGGTGTAATGCAATGCGTTTATGCTTAAGGTTCAAAAAACACATTATTTTCCACATACTGTACATTATTTACATTATTCTATGCCCCGCCTTTCTGAAACGCGTAGATTTTTACAAAGCTCATCGTTATAAACGAGGCATTTATAAGGCGTTGCGCATCGCGATGCGTAAACATAAAACCATGTCTGCATTTGTGATCGGAGAAATGACAAACAACAAGCGCTACTCTACACTGCCCAAAACTCGCGTTTGAATCATCAGTGGCAAATCCTTTAAATATGAAAACGTACTTACAGTCTGTGAATCAGAAGCGCCAGACTGTCCTTGCAAAGTTGGAATTGCCCCACTTTATAGAAACAGAAACAGTCCTCGTATGATCATCATATGACTTTAATTATTTTGCACACTTTCAACTCACTTTCAGCAATTATTCCTGCCACTACTCATTTAACACCAAGAAATTATTTGAGCCTGGAAGATTAGAGTAATCTCATTCATTTGCTTTACTTTTCAAATATTTATGTTCCTCCATCTGCTGCTTCACTCGGTGCCAAAATATGATTAATTTGCTAAATGGCTTGACGTATCTGCTAAGACTCAAATCTGCATCATGATAAATGTCCTCAAGCGTTGGTGAAGTACTTTAGCTGAGATCTGTGTATCGGTCTGTTTATTTAAGAGAAGTCGTGACAGTGCCAGGGGCGGATCTACCGGGTGCCAATGCTTTTTTTTTTTTTTCAATGAATTATTTGTTTATTTATCCCAGTATAAAATCTAAATACAAGCCATGTTTTCTGTACCGCATTTTAGCAGCTGTGCTTTAATGTGATGACATAAACAATGTACCGCAAAAAAAAAAATGGTTAGAAAACGCGTCTTGCACTGTGTGGTCAACTTCAATAACAGGTGACTCTTCTGAACAGCTTCTTTTTGGCAAGTCAAAAACGCAGAGCAACCAGTGCAGCCCAATTCACAAACAAACGGACTGTTTTTCCATTATTTACATATATATTACTTTCGTCATGGATATATTTGACATCCGACAAAACCAAATGAAACCAATAAGAAGATCCCGATCACAGAAGCTGAGCTGGGTGTAGAAATCTAAACCTAACCAAATTTTTGAAAGATAAACTTTTGTTGGCTTGGCAAGTTCTTTAGCCTACTTACAATTTAGAATAGTTAGGAAGTCTCAGAAGTCTTAAATGCTTCAATATGGCCATTCTTTCTAGCGAATTTGAACGTTTTTGTTGCTTATAAACTTGATGCACGAAAACTTATGATTTATATACTATCCAAGTAGCCTAAATAATTTTACTTTAACTTTATAGTTAAGTATAGATGATGGAATGCTTTGTTTGCTTTTGTGTTGCCGCCCCTCACAGTCCTCACGCCATGCTAACAATCATTTTATAAAACGGAGAGTTCCGGTCCTTGATTCTGATTGGTTGAGCCACGTTCTAAACTGTTGTAAATTACTCTACAAACATACACCTTTGTTTACGTTTGTGTGTTGCTTGGCAACCACTTTGTTGCAACCACAACCGATTCTGAGGAACTACATTGTTTGGCGGAAGAATAATGTTTTTATTAATATCATTACACTTTATTTGCTCTGTTTTATTTTGTGAAACCTTACTACGTATATGGACGCTTCGCTTCGCGTCGTGCCTAACAACGCCCCTTAGCCGTTATAAATTCACTGTAAACCACGGCTTCACGGGACTTGTTGCTTTATTCTAGATCCACCCCTGGATTTCTTCCACTGCTGTTTCCAATGTAAACAAACCTGCTTATCCAAAAAGCATTGTTCTCAAGGTTTCAAGGTTCTCAAAGAAAAATAACTAGTGTAGTTAAAATCAGCTCAGCTGTACAGTAACACTTGAAATTGCAATATGAACAGAATTTACAAAACACATTGCATGGAAAGATATTTTTATAGAAGATTTTCTCATTGCTGTTGTTTTCAGCACTGAGAAATGATGAGTTCTTGTAATTTTTGAACATTTTAAAGTGTAATTATGAGGCATAAATTTTGTTTTTAGAGACAATATGCACAATGATTTGCAAGTTTTCTTCCCAAAACCTCACAAAGACTTAAGATCCTGCTAAAGATGCTCATGGCGTGTGTGCCTGAGTTTGAAGCGCCTGCACTGATGGGCGATTCTCTTATTAGTTGTGCTGGGTGTTGATGCCCTGAAGGCTTCGAGTTTGTTTGTTTAGCAGTAGCAGATGAGAAGACTGTTGAATTGACGTAGCAGAACCGGTCTGCGGAAATTGTTCAAAGCCAAAATAGAAAGTTGAGCTGACACATGTGCTGATAAATGTGGATGCATGTCAACCTGTGTGACATTCACTCAACAGAATGGATTTACTGTGACATTTTGTGATTCTGGGACAAAAACAAAACTCATCCCTTTTCAAAAGAATATCAGTGTTTGTTGCTCTTGGAGTCCTGCAGCGGGTGCAGGTCGCCTCGACTGACCTTTGTGTGCATCTGGAGATACAATACTGGATTTTGTATTCATATAAAACTTTTTCAGCTTTAATGTTTTATAGAAATCCTAATTCGCATGATGGCATTTAATATGAACACACAGCTTTGATTGACAGGTGTTTTTAATATGACATTTGCACAATATAACATGCTGTCAACATAAACATAATTGCATTCTAGGGAGTGTTTAGTGTTGGAAAAGGTGCCGTTTTTATACATTTTTATCAATAGTGAGCATTTAAGTGAACGTTTCCTTGATAACTCGAATCCATTAATGATTATTTTAGCACTTTTGAGGAAGTGTTTGAGAAACCTGTTTGAAAATGCTGATTAGTTGCGCAGTTTAGTGAGTCAGCAACTAATGCTCATAACTTGAGTGAATGTGAGACTGATTTGTTTAAAAGAGTCATTTGTGAATCAAACCACACTTGTTGCACTGTATGTTTGTTTTTGTGCACAACTCAACAGAAGGACATTCGTATCCGTTTTGCATTGCCCAATCTGCCTTTCTCAGCACATGCGATTTGGATTTGATTACTTGCTGTTTCGCAATAGATTCACTATTGTAGTTTGCTATTCTGTCAGCATCAGTGGAAAAATACAGACATTCAACCACCATTAATGGACCTGAATTTAATGAGAATCATTTGCTTCTGATATTTTTGTCCTCCAAAACTAATTAATGAATTTCCGGCACCATTTATTATTATGTTAAAATCTCTGTGTGCATTCTATTAGGGTTTTGTTGTGTGAGTGTTTGTGTGAGTCTCGCAGGCCAGACTAAACAATTAACCTTTTCTTGAATATGTTTGTGTGTGGGAACTGACCTATTAACCTAACATCTTGTTGAATGTGTTTGTGTGTTTGCTTCTTTCTCTCTCTCTCTCTCGTTTCCGCTCAGCGGTCTCTTGGCCCAGGGAGAGGTTGCCCAATGGGACGACCCTGAAGTGGGCTCCGTAGCTATTAACAAGCCGGCGTCCCGCCACTTCTATCCAATCGCCCTTCTGCTTGTCAGCTCCCACCTGCTGGTGGTGTGGCTCATTTTAAGTCTTGTTTTTTTGCTTGCAAAATACCAATAAACTGCTGATTATGCCATAACCGAGCTGCGTCTAACTTCTTACTTGCTTCCTCGAGTGGTTCTCTCTGTCTTCACAAATAACATTTCTGATTTTTATGGAAGACCGTTTTTGCCAAGGAATTAAAAAAAAACTTTAAAAACATTAAAACTTTTTATCTCGCAATTCAGACATTTTTCTGAATTCTGAGTTTATATTTTGCAATTGACTTTTTTTCTCTAAGCGCCAACTACTGGCCTGGCATACGTAATACATCGCTTTTGGCCGTTTTCACGGATATGTGTATACGCGAATCGTTTTTGAAAAGCCTCAGACTTTTTCTTGCAATTCTAAGAAAAGGTTAGAATTGTGAGATAAAAACTCAGAATTCAGAGAAAAAAGAATTATGAGATAAAAAGTCACATTTACCTTTTTTTTTTTTTTTTTTTTTTTTTTTTTTAAAAATTTTTTTTTCTGCTGTACATATTCACACACACACAGGAACAGAAAAGTTTTTTTGTTTACTATATTAAAACAAAAGGCCTACTGTAAAGGACATATTCTTTAATTGTTAATTTAATTGTTTCAAGAAAGAATGCAGTGCATTATTTAAAAATAATTTTAAAATACTAAATGTAAACATTATTTACATGTAAATAACATAGTAAATATACATTATTTACATGTAATGTGTACAAATGTTTTCTTTCAAAAGTGAAAAGCGAGCGATTTGCAGGAATTGTCTGAATATGTAGCTTTGAACGCCAACTATTTGCAGGCCTGTCATATCAGTTGACATTCATCACATGTCTGTATATATGTGTCTCATGACCAGAGATTGTTCTTTTGTTGTTATTGGTTTGTTTTTGCACTGAGGTATTTCTGAAAGTGTGTACTGTATGTTTTATATTTGTGTTGATATATAAAGCCATTTCACTTTGTTGTTTTTTTTTAGGATGATTCTTGGAGTTATTTCCATTACAGCTTTCAGCTTGCTTTTGCACTCGGTGAACATTAAGTTTATATACATAAAGGAACACTCGCTCTCTTTGTGCTAAAAAGCCTCTTATCAAATGTCACTTTTGACAGCGTGTATTTGTGAATTTGTGCTGTTTTTAGATGCTTATCAAGGTACAAGTAGATCAGATTCATATTGACTGGTCTTTGAAGCCAAACAAAATGCTTTAAATGAAATATGATGTTCCTAAAACATTCGTGTGTTTATCTGATTAGCTGAATAGACCAATAGGGGTTATGCGCAACAGACTTCCGTATTCTGTTAACCGGGTCTCGTCGCTTCCGGTTCAAGCGTTTTGCATAAGCTTAGTTAAATATGAAGCAGTTTTACTCAAGATGCCAAAAAGTTGATTACTGACATTATAACTGGAAAAGTTTGTTTTTTTTAAATCGGCTTTATCCGCCTCTCTGATTGGGCGTGATGTATTGCAAAGGTTAAGAATGAGTCAAAATTAATTGTTTGCATATAGCCTTAAGAAACTCATGTTCTCTCCAAAAGTATATATATATATATTACCCAAATGGTGGGTTTAGCCTGTTGGGTCATTTTATTGGCTATAGTCCTTGGTTATTTTTAACATTTTTTTTTACCCAGGTGTTGGGTCATTTTTACTGTCGATACAAATGATGAACCCCCTCACACACCACAGCGCTGGGTCAGTGCACTTTGCCAAAACGGTTCAAACTGGTTACATTTGTCAGCGGTCATTTGGGCGAAATTTCGAGGCTACGTGTATCCCATCATGCATCATGTTGTGAAATTAAATCTTGAGGCTTTTTGCCGAGATCTCGCGAGAGGTCACGGAAACCTTTCCAATGTATGTTAAATATTAATAATAGTTAGATATTACAAATAATTTGGTATTAAGACAGAGTTGCATGTTTTATTGGTGCAAAGATGAGTAGTGGTGGTATTTATTTTGTACAACATTTGCAACTGCTTTTTATCACTTAATTAGAAGCACCACAAAATTAAATTGTGTCATCTGTTATAGGGACTACTGAACAGACATTTAGAAGTTAATTTTAAAATGCAAAGTTTTGAAAATAAAAATATAGCTCTGTAAACAATTGCATGTTTACAACACTATAAGTGTGTCCCATCATGAAAAGTTCTACACACACTTGTGGTCTTCATGCTCACTTGAACACTTGGACTAAACACAGGAAATAGGTCATATAAGTAGTCAAGTGGTCAAGTGCAAAGACCGCAAGTGCAGGTATTTGGACAAGGCATGAATCCCTTCATGAATGGCCCTTCCAGAAGTCTGTTAGCGAAGGGAACATGGTCACTTAACGGAAGTGATTTCAGTTTGTGATCGTGTGATCTTTGGTTAGGAGGTCTTGCGATGCATTTTAAAGCAAAGTTGGGGTTGATTTCGATTTCACATACAAACGTAAGTAGAATAGACTAATTAAATTTGTCTTTATTTTAATGTAATACAAAATATTTTTCGTCAGTGATAAAAAATATGATTTAAGACGGTAGTGTAAACAAGTTAAGTTTGAAAAAGTTTAATAGTAGGCTAAATAAGACACAATTAGATAATATTTGAATAAAATAAGAAGAAATATTTATTTGCAACAACAACTGATGGAGTGCTGAATGCTGCACTCATGCACAGCATCGTCATGGTTGGGTAAATATTTGGTCAGTCATTCCCTTCGCCAAGTGTGTTCCCTTCAAAGAACACACTTCAAGGGTTCTGCTGTTCGAAGGGAGTAGGGCATAGGGATGCTGACTTCCGTTTGGAATTCGCCCTTTGTGGGTTGTGGCTAGAAGGGATACAGCAAAAACCGAAAGCTAACAATAAATTGAATTTTCTACCTATTAGATTGTTTTATTTACAGCTACCCCAACCCTAAACCTACCCCTTACAATAATGCAAAAATAGTAATTATTGTTGTACAGTGTGAGAAAAATTACGCTATATTGATGTGCGCATGCCCAGTAGTTTTTGCTGTATGCCTTTTAGTAACCACGTTCCACGTGATGCGATGCAATAAATACTTTCCGTACTTCCGTTGCCACATGGCAAGTAATACGTGATGTTGACAAAGAATTGTATATAATTTTGTCTTGTTGGCAAAGTTGAATGCTTTTGCTTTTTTTTGGACGATTGTGCGCATATAGCTTCTTTGTTCACTTAATAACGAATAAGAAATTACATAAGTTAAATGTGGCATGGAGTCGAGGCCACTGAAAATTAGCTTTTTAAGCTAAAAAAAAGAAAAGAAAGACAAAATAAAGCGATATATTTATTTGTGTAGATTAAATCTACAACTCAAGTTGTAGATTTGTAAATAGAATTTATCTTTTTATTAAACCTATTCAGGAAATGAGAGGAAACTTCCTGTATGAAATTAAAGTCCGCATGAAATGGAAGTTGAGATTGTCCTTTTTTCACCTGTTGTGACGTATATCCAAGTGAAACGGCTTCTGAAATGAGGGAAAAAATGTAGGGCGGGGCTTGATTTCATCTTTCGGGAATTTATTGGATCGTTGGAAGTTAGGCGTTGCTAACAAAAAAGTGAAAACTATAGCTGTGTCCCATATGATGCACTATGCACTTATATACTGTGTACTTATGCACTATGTACTCAACCATGTAGAGTATGCATTATATAAGGTTCATTCATAATCGGAGTCTGATTGCCCCTCCCCCTTCGCTATGTAATTGAACCTGCGACAGTCTCCAACATTCCACACTTCCGCTGTGTTCCAAGGGCACTTCGGAGTGAAAACAATCATGGCCGCCTTATTGAATGGTTGTTCCAAACCGAAGTGCCCAAAACTGGCCACTTCAAAGGGCCCTTCTTACTTCAACAAAAATACAGCTACCTTTATCAGTCCATTCAAATGTTTCAAAGACACAATATATATTACAAATACATATTACATTACATACACAAATATAGATCATATTTGACGTAAAAGACAATTGGGGGTCAACTAGCGTACAATATGTGCGACGAAGGTGCCTCCTTGATCGTCTCGTTAAGGTGACGCAGGGGTGCGTTCCAAAAAAAAGAGTTTTTTGACCCCTACACCCTTCATCCATTCGAATCTCTCACTCCGTAGGGTAAACCCTTTGAAGGCATTAGGGCATAGGGATGAGCCCTTCCAAATGGAACGCAGGGTTCGTTGTTTCGGTTAAGTGCATCATCCGGGTATTTAAAGTGCACTTTTTCTTTTGGGACTTTTCAGTGTGAACGCACCACTTGCACTATTTATACTACAAAATGTCATAGAATAATGTACACTTACGCATTTTGGGACGCACCTTAAGAATTGATCCAGTATACATTGTTGCAACTGTGGTCGCACTATGCGTTTGACGGGTTGAAACTTACTGTAAATGTCGGACAGACAAGATGGCACGAGGTAAAGCCGTTTCTGATGTAACCTTTCGAACATGAATTCATGAATAAAGTCATGAATAAACTGGAACAGCCTACTGATCGCAGATTTCTTCCCACAGATTCCCATCGGCTGCTCTTGCTGCTGCTGTCAGGTCCTAAAACCTTTACTGAATGGTTTTGACGATTTTATGGTTGTAAAAGACTGACATGACATTGAATTTAAAAAATGATTGTATATGAACTGTTCTTGTCCTATATAAAACAGATTTTAGAGTGCATTTTTATTAATTAAAATGAAAAACCTTCAATAGGTTGACTGACCCAGCAAAAAACAACCCAGCAAATGGGTAAATGTAGAAAACCCAACAAGCTAAAATAACCCACCATGTGTTCTGTCCAATATTTTACAGTTTAGACTTTTGTCAAATTAAATGTATGCCAAATTGAATGTAACCCGCATGAAAATGAGGCAGTGAGGATAGAAGCTTTTTTCCCACCATGGGATAAAAAAAATATTAAAAATTGACTTATCTTGCAATTCAGACTTTTTTTTTCTCACAATTTTGACTTTTCCCCTCGCCATTCTGAGATATAAATGCAGAAATGCGAGATATATACTCACAATTCTGACAAAAAATATTGAATTTTTTTTTTTCAGATATA